AAAGAGAGCAATTATTACGTCCGGTGAAATCCGAACGTATCCAAATATATACCGAGCAATACCGAGTTTTAGGTGACGTGGCGCGTGGTTATTGATCTCTGAAGGCATTCGGACACCGACATAATAATTGCTCTGATAAAGGAAATCCTGAGCCCCACATCATATTCCTCCCATGCCAAATTATAAATGAGGATGTTAACAAGGTAGCTGTTACTCTTCCATAAATGATCGCAAAATAACATTTGAATTGGCGGGAGAAGCCAACTACCGTTTACAATGGAGAGATGCTCACAATTCGTACGAGAAATTTATGTGAGGATATGATATTTTGAATAGCAATGTAATTATTAAGAAAGGCCTAGGCTCAACAAACAACAACAACAACATCAAGCCTTTGTCCCACTACGTGGGGTCGGCTACATGAATCCTTTTTTCACCATTGTGTCATGTTAAAAGTCAAATTCTCTTTTAAATCTAATAAAGAAAGATCATTTCTAATATTTTCTAACCAAGTCTTTTTAGGTCTACCTCTATCTTTCTTAACATAAAACAAATCTAAAACCTCAACTTTCCTAACCAGGTCATCGGAAGGTATCTGTTTAATGTGATCAAACTAGGGGTGTAAGTGAGCTGAGCCGGCTCGAACTCAACTCGTTAACGAGCTCGCGAGCCGACCTTATCGAGCTTCGAGCTCAAGCTCGAGCCTACAATCGAGCTCGAATGATAAACGAGCTCGAGTTCAAGCTCAACCCGACTCGACTCGAAAGCTTATAAGCTACTCGATATAATTATATATATATATATAAGCACGCATGTGTCTGTGCTTCCAAACGAGCTCGATCTCGATCACCGATCTCGAGCTCAGGCTTGATATTTTCTTCTAACAATCTTGATCTCGAGCCCACTATTATGATCCAAGGCTCGAGCTAACATAGTAAGGATTAACGATGCCAGGCTTATAAGGAATACGACTCGACTCGACTCATTTAACCCTAGACCAAAACCTCTAAGGGCGACTCTTCTCTTACTACTGAGCTACTCCAACTTTCATGTATCATTGTCCATTTCGTATCATCTCTAAGGGTAAAGCCACTCATCCACCTAAGCATCCTCATCTCTGCAATAGTTTACTTGTATTTGTTCTCTTTTAATGAGCCAACATTCGGCAACCATAAAGCATTGCAGGTCTCACACATCTTATAGAATTTTCTTAAGTTTGAGGGGACTTTTCTATCGCACAACAACCTGATGCATTCCTCACTTAACCATCCAACTGATTCTGTTTTATCATCTATAATTTCACCATCACTCTGACAATATGATCAGATTATATAAAAGTTACTCTTATTAATGACTAGATCGTCAAAGTCACAATCCCCTCACTAGGTCTATGACTACTTAGAATATTATCACTCACATATTATTCATTTAAGATCTAAGCCTCAAGGAAAACATTGACTTAGGTTGACTCTCAACTAGTTACCTTCACTCCCTGTCTTAGTCTTATCAACAAGAAGAATATCATCAGCAAAAAATCTATTAACAAGTACATCCTCTTTTATAATGTCTAACTGAGAACGTCCATGACTAAAGCAAAAAAAGATATGGGCTTAAAGCTGATCCTTGATGTAATCCAACCGAAATAGGAAAATATTTGGTCAAACCACCTTATGTTTGAACACAAGTAATAGCTCCTGCATACATATCTTTAATGATTTAAATATAAGCATTATTAACTCCTTTCTTTTTGAAGAACTCTCCATAGAACTTTTCTTGAAACTTTATCATGCTTTCTCTAAATCAATAAATATCATATGTAAATCCTCCTTATTCTCTCTATATTTCTCCATCAAATCTCTCAATAAATATACGGCTTTCATGGTAGACCTACCCGGCATGAATCTAAATTTAATTTGAGAAACATTAGCATCACGTCATAACCTACACTCTATAACTCGCTCCCATAGTTTTAAAGTATGACACATTAACTTAATTCCTCTATAATTCACACACTTCTGTGCGTCACCTTTATTTTTAAAAATAAAAATTAACATACTCATTCTCCACTCATCTGGCATCTTTCTAATCTTCAAAACAGTATTAAAAAATTTAGTAAGCCAAGAAATTCCTTCATCTCCTAAGCATTTCCACATCGAAGTACATACAAGAGTAACCTAGATTGAACTATTGGAATATCATCAGGTCCAACAGCTTTTTCGCACTTCATTTTCTTCAAAGCCTCTCTAACTTGAATTTTACTAATACGTCGATAAAAACAAAAATCATTATTTTCATTTACGTTGCTAAAGTCATTAAAGTCAATCGTATTTTCACATTCTTCATTAAAAAAGTTTAGAAAAATATTTCATCCACATTTATTGAATATCATATTCTAAAAAAAGTAATTTTTGATCTTTATCCTTAATACACTTCACTTGAACTAAATCCTTACTACTCCTATCTTTTTGTTTGGTTAACTTATACATATATATTTCTCTCTCCTTAGTATCTAATCTATTATATAAATCATTAAAAGCTAAGCATTTTGCATCGCAAATAGCTTTCTTAGATTTCTTACGAACATCTTTATAGTTTTTCCAATTATCAGAATTTTTACATCTAAACAAATTTTTATAACAAATCTTCTTATTTTTTATCTTTTCTTTCATATTTGGATTCTACCTCCAACTATTTTTACTATTAGGATTTTTCCCTTCGAAACTCCAAGCACAATTATTACAATATTCTTAATATCAATAGCCACTTTTTCTCATATAACATTAACATCCTCGTGCACAGACAAAATCTTAAGATCTAAAATCTTAATCTCAAAAATATTTTTGTTAATATTCTTTAAATTACCCCATCTAATCCTAGAATATCGTTTACTTTATTTTTTATTTTCTGCCACATTATCTTAAAGTCCAAAACTAATAATCGATCTTGGGTACATAAATTTTCATTTGGAATAACTTTACAATCTAAACAATCTAATTTTCTTATAAGAAAATAATCAATCTGCATTTTATTATATCCATTTTTATAAGTGATAAAATGCGCATCTCTTTTCTTAAATAAAGTAATAGCTATTAAAAAAATCATAAGCTAAAGAAAAATCTAATATGGTCTTATCATTTTTATTTGTTGTTCCAAACTCATGAACATCATGAATGCTTTTAAAAGCATCTACCTCTCTAACAACATTTTCATTTAAATCTCCTCCAATAAAAACTCTTTCTTCAAGATGTATTTTTATATTAATTTTTTTAAGTCATTCCAAAATTTTAATTTTGAACACATATTCAAAACTACTTGAGAAATATAAACACTTATAATATTAATAATCTTAATATTAACAATAATCTTTAAAGCTATAATTCTATCTTCAATTCTAAACGTTACCACCAAAATGTAAACCACAGTAGTAAAACCAGTTAATGCAAGCTTTTTTCTACAATTACATTCCTAAGGCATCAGATCAAAGTTTATGCAGACGTGATGCAAGAACAAAGTTTATGCAAACGCAAAGCAAGATTGAAATGCAAAAATGTAAGATAAATACAAATTTGCTTTTCTGAAAGCAAAAGCAAGTTAAACACAAAATTCAAACATTAAGGCATCTTCTTCCTCATGGATGTCTCATAATAATCATGCTGTCTCTATGTCATAGAGTTCGTTTTTTAGGATTAGTTTGTTTCAGGAATGCCCAAGTATTGGGTTCAATCCCATATCAAGTAGTTAGAAAATATGTTAGAGTTGAAATACCAAATGATTAGGCCTCGCTAATTAAATTAAACTTTTACATTAAAATTTTTTTAACTTGTGTATTTAGCACAGCTCAGCAGCTCAAGCTCCCCTTTAATTTTACTCTCCTGCCAAATAATATTAGAGTTGACAGTTCAACTGGAATCATGTGGTTCAAGTGGTTTGTGACTCCCATCAGTCATGGACGGCTTCTTCCATCGTCAAGCAATGTCCAAAAGTAATGTCACGACACTGTCTACTGGCCTCTTGGTGCATGATACTTAATAATGTTGAAAATATTTCACTCAAGAGAGAGTAATGTGAAAGTGAAGAGCTCTCATGTGGGAGATTGTTTAGGCGCATGAAGGCATTAGATTTAGTCCTACATCTGATAGTAGATAAAATTGTTAATATTGAAATACCAAGTTGTCAGCCCTCACCCATAAATTTGATCATTAATGTATCCAGACAAAATTTGATTATCTTTTGGTTCCACACTCTTCGTGAGTAGATCTTAGTTTTTAGATGTGAGTTCCATTGGCCTACGTTTTCTGATGTGAGTTCCATTGGCTATATTTTTTAAATATGAGTTTCAGTGACATCTTTATTTTTTGTGTGAATTCAATAATTGTAAACTCAATTTATTTTTTTATTTGCTTGCAATGTGTTTCAAACCCAAACTAATAGAAGTTCCATGGAAAACCCTTTTAATTTCCTTTTTGCAATAAGAAATCATCATTAATTAATTTCATTTCTTACTTTATGAAATATGCTTCAAAAACAAAACTCCACTTCCATCCACAGTTCCTCAAATAAATGCTTGAATTCTATAACACTATAACTAATCATTTTTAGCCATTCATCTGAAAACAGCTTGGTTCTTTAAAGTTTCACGCTATATTAATCCCTTGGATATTATCAATTCTTCTCGCTAACATGTTCAAAGATTCCTCTACCAAGAATAGCCAGCAAATTTGCAGTAGCTAGGTTAACCTTCATAAAACTACTGCTTTTCATCTATCAATAAAGAGGGGTGGTCTCGCAAAACAAGTTTCCTAAGGAAAGGAAAACTTCGTAGGTGTCTAGCATAGATTAAATCATCTGTCATTTATTTTTATAGACAAGAAAGCAGTTTTCACTAATGCAAGAAAAAGTGTTCAAATACATCATAAGAAGAGCCAATTCAACAAATTGATTTGCACGAAGCTCACTATTCATCCAAGGGAAATAAATTTCGTAGTGAAAAAGAATCTTACCAGGTTCTGGTAACGATGGAACTGCTGGGTGCACCTTTCTCGCCTCCAGGCATCCAAATCGAAGACATTCACGCCAAAATTCCATGCGCACGCCCTCGGGCTGAACCTCTCCCTCACCACCGGGTGTGAGAAATTCATATACCTCGAATACCTCCTGAACCCACCGAAACACATCTCCACAGCACCGTTCACCTTTCCATCGAGATCCATCATCCATAGCCCCGACAGATCCTTCTGCACCACGACATCGTCCTCCAGATAGATTACCCTCTTCAGCTTGGGAAACATCTCCGGCAAATAGAATCTCAAATAATCCAGAAGCACCAAATCACGTCGGCCGCCCTCGATCTGCCGCACCACTGGCGAGTAACTCGCGTTCAGAAACCCAAACACCGATGCCGATCTAACATCAACCTTCGCGCCACCTGCCGGCGGCCGGCGAGTAAACCATACCTGCATCGCTGCCGCGTACATCGGATCTGTGACCACATGGAACACGTGCCGGCGAGGTTCCGCCGCGTTCTTGACAACAGAATTGACGACGACGGAGACGGCGATTATGTTGTCGGAGAAGATGGCGTAGTGATAGAGATCCGAATCAAATAGATCCGGGGGGTTTAGAGGGCGATAGTCCTGCGGGTGGGCAATTCGCTCCTCCATAAGACGCATGGCAAGGCAATGGAGGCTCTTCGGCGTGGATCCCGCAGCAATGCGGCTCGATAGCGCCCCGAGCTTCCGGGCGCGGTGGAGCTGCTCACCGACAGCAAAAATAGTGTCGCGGAGCTTCTGTATCTTCAGTTGGGTATCGAAGGGTTCCTTGTACTCGGAGATGAGCTGTCGAGCAAGCTTAATCCGGTCCTTGGCCTCCTTTTCCACCGGACGAATGTTGTCCTCGTCGGCTAGAGAGTCAGAGTCGAGGCGGGAGGCGAGATTGGAGAATCCGGTTGCCATGTCCTCGAAGAGGCGCAATTGACGGGAGTTTTCAAGCTTCAAGCGGCGGGCGTAAGCGGCGTACGCATGGACAAGCGCGAGGTGATCCGCTGCTTGTCGGTATATGAGATCAAGGCGAGTTTGGAGGGGATCGGAATTGAGGGCCAAAAAAGTTCGGCGGATCCCAGCGGCAGCGGCCTCGCCAGAGATAGCGCTTCCATCACTGGAACTTGGGGATGATGAAACCGGAGACGTGGAGGAGGAAAGAATGACGCTGAGGGAGGCGATGAAAAGGAGAGTGAAAACGAAGGATACAAAGACCTTGTAGGAGAAGAAAGTACCGAGACCGCCCATCGGACGGATGGGTCTGCCGCCGGCCATTCTACCAAACTTAGGGACCGCTTACTAGAGTTGCTTCCATGCGTCCAACTCGTTCTAGCTCGCTAGCTCGCTCGTCGGTGACGACGACAAAGTGAACTTCCGCAGTAAGGACATAAAGGTGATAAGGAAAAACTATTGAGTCCGAACGTAGCTCCTTTTTTATAGAGAAAATTAGGGGCGAACCCAATTTTCATTAATAATAATGAAAAAAATATTACAGAAATTCAAGATACGTAAGAAAAGCACAAAAAAAAATTTAAAAGAAAAAACTAAAAATAACCTAAAAAAGAACTTGACTTAAAGAAGTCAAGAAACACAACTCCCCTTGGCCTAATGGTTGAAAGCTTAGGCTTACAACTAAGAGGTCCAAGGTTCGAGTCCATGTGTATGCGTTGTGTGTGTGAGTTTGCCTTAAATGACCTAATATCCCAAAAAAAAAAAAAGAAGTCAAGAAAAATAAATAAAAGACAAACAAACAGCCTTTCAAAATAATACAAAGACATAAAGATCAAAAATACAATACAAATACATAATTCTTAATATTATTAGACACATTTAAGTCCGAAATGAAATCTAAAACTTGAAAAAAAAATTAGGCCTTTAAAAAATTGATTTAAACAAGGAATGAGCAAAGATAAAATAGAAAAATTAAAATCACATTCAAAAAATAAGTGATTATGAGTCTCCGCAAAAGAATCACAAAAAACACAATATCAGTAATTTCTAGCCTATTTAATAAGGTCATCCAAGCATAACAAGAATACTTCAAAGTATAACGTTTATGCCAAATAAAATTTTACCGATTAAACATAGCATGCCCTGCATAAAAATCTAAATGAAAAAAATTAAACTAAGGAAGAAACACCCCATTCCACTCAATGACTCAATACAAGAAATTGAAGAACCTTTATACTAATGAAAGTAGAATTAAAGGAAGACAAATACAAAAAGAAATTAGGTAAAGACTAATTGCCACCCGAAATGACATCCTTCATCAGAATAGTATGCCAATAAGAATGAATATTAGGAATTGATTCATGAAGAGACTGGCCATATACTAAGGATCCCAACAAAATGAAAGAAAACTATCGACATTAGTAATAAAAATAATTTTTTCCTTTAAATTCTCAGCCAATTTACAAAGATTTTTCCAGAATATTGAGGCCTAAGAAGAGAGCGGCTTCCATAAAGAGATATATTTTTCTTTCACCCAGAAAGCAAATAAACCATTTCTATTTAAGATTATCCAAATAATAGAATAATTAAAAGCATGATAAAGAGCATTGAGGTCAGGTTTACCTAAACCCCCAAAATACTTGGGCTTACAAACATATTTCCAAACAATAACATGCATCTTCTTAGAATTATCATTGCCATGGAAAAGAAAGGTTGAGCAAACTTTTCTAATGAATATTAGACAGAATTTAGGAATAATAATAACTCTAATCCAATATGCAATATAGTTAGAGATAGAAAATTTAAGATAATGCACTCTTCCTGCAAAAGAAAGAATTTTAGTTTTCAAACCTTAAAGTAAATCAATGACCTCATTGAGCAAAGGTTGAAAGTCCAAACCAATAAACCTTGACAAATCCTTTCCTTCTCGACAGTATCCTTAGAGAACATAGCTAGACCTTTGTCATGATTAACATAAAGACCCGAAAAATAATCCAAAATTTCCTATAACTTCTTCGCATTATTAACTGATGCTTTACCAAAAACAAAAACATCATCCACATAAAGTAAAAGTGAAATATGAATTCACCCACTTTTAAGCCCTTAAAATGAGATCCAATGAAACTGTTATCAATAAAGTTTGATAAAAGCGTCCATCACTATACAAAATAAGTAATGAGATAAGGGACAACTTTGATGAAGATCAAAGAAAAAATTAAATAGTACTTTCAATAAACCATTTAGAACAACAAAGAAAATTTTTTCCTCATTACAACCTTTAATCCAACTAATAAATTTTTCAGAAAAACCTTTTTGAGTCATTCTATTTAAAAGAAAATCTATATAAACAATATCAATTACTTTTTTAATATCCATCTTAGCACAAAAATATTTAACTTTGTCAAAGTTAAAATCCTTCAAAATTTCAGAAGCTAATAAAATATTATCAGCTAAAATTCTCATCTTCGTAAATCCAGTCTGACTTGGATGAATAATATAAGGCATAATAATTTGCATTATATTAGCTAAAATTTTAGCTATTATTTTATAAAAAATATTACATAAAAATAGTCCTAAAATCTGAAATTTGAAAAGCATGAGAACATTTTGGAATAAGAACAATAATTGTCATGTAGGACCAAAGATGTCCCAGCATTTTTAAAGAATTCAAAAATATAGCCATCCAGCCCAAGAGCAAAGGAGCCGAGAAAACAACCTTTTTAATTTCATCCATCGAGACAAGAAATATAAAACTAGAAATAGCCAGAATGGGAATAGAGTTATCCATCGGAATAACAATAACAATGTTAGAAGCTAAAGATGGCCTATGAGAGTTGAAAAATCTTCTAAAATGTTGAACAAAGTCATCTGAAATACCCTTAGAATCAAAAATCAAATCTCCTGAAGAAGAAATAGCTTTAATATTATTTATATTTTGTCTACTACGAATCTTAGAATAAAGAAAACTCAAATCATCTTCACCATTAGCTAGGCATCTAGCTTTCGATTTCTAAATAAGCCAAGAAGTCCATAAAAATTTATAATGAATCAAAAGAGTATTAACCTCTTTTAAATCAAAAGTTAGCTTAATAAACAACACATTATTTTGAATTTCTTGCAAAAACCTTTTTTGATCCATCTTTAAATCAGCTAATTTGCTAGAAATAAAATTAGAAGAAACCCACAACTCACTTTAATATAACTTTTAAGCTTATTCAAACAATTATAAAGATCGAAAATCGACTACTAGCAATAGGCAAAGCAAAAGCTTCACTAAGAAAATCTAAAAAAAAAATATGATTAGAACACCAATATAATTTTTAAAAATAAATTGAAATTCCAAATTAGCCATTTTAATATTAAAGAGAATCAGCCAGCTACCAAAACACCTTGGCTTATTCACATTATAGTAGAAAGCAGAAAATTCATCCAACTAAAACTTATTTATCAAAATTCTATCAAACTTAAGCTTCATTTGAGACAGCTTTTTTACTGCTTCCTGAAGCAGCTTTTTAGTATAAAAATTAAATTTTTTGTATTAAAATGCTACTTTCCAAGAAGCAGTTAAAAAATCATCCCAAACGAAGCCTGAATGTGAATTGGACAATCACTTTTTGATTGAACCAATATAAAAATACCCAACAAAAAAAGTCTTAAACCCCTATATTAAAAATGTGAGTATTAAAATCCCATAACTTATTATTAAAGAGGAAATTACCTCCAGATTTTTCATTGAAAAATCTACAACAATTGAAATCACCAAGCAGTACCCAAGGAGAAGAGTTATTAGTGAACAAATTAAGAATGTCTTTCCACAATGTCTGTCTATCAATCAGATTATTAGACGCATAAATGACAATGATATAAAGGGAGTAATTAGAACCCCATTTAAACAACCATAAATCAACTGATCAATTGAAAAAATAAGAGAAAAATAAATATGAGAAGCATTCCATTTAATCCAAATTCTCCCAGGATAAAAAAAAAATAAAGTTATTATAACTACCTTCATTATGAAAAATCCATTGGCTAGCAGATAACCAAGGATACTCTACTAAAGTCAAATTAATTTTAGATTCAAGAATGCAAATCAGATCAACACTAAGAATTCACAAAATCCTAACAAGAATTAACTTTAGATTTAATTATTTTTCACATTGGAGCATTAAAGCATTATACTCTAAATAAACACCAAAAGTGCTATCAACCATCAACCCAATGAAATCAAGCTCAGGGAGCAGAAAACCAACAAAAATAGCTACCAGAATGCCCAGCCAAGCCGAATCAGAAAACTCATGAAACCAGAGGCAGCAATGGAGGAAAATTGAGGCACAAATCATCAACCACATGGAACCAAAATATGTCCTAAATAAGGGTAATTCCATTGATGACCAAAGAGAGGTTTGTCCTTCATGATTCTGCAATATTTACAAGTTAGCAAACACATCAGCAGCAAGATTAGCCTCCCTATAGGTATAATTAAGCTTGAAATTTAAATGCAAGAAGCTTTATAATATTGCATTGAATAGCAAAAATGCCCCACGTACACTGAACATTGCCACACACAAAAAAAAAAATTTTGATGATAAGTTCTACCTCAATTTCAAAGAGAATGTTAGTTATGTTAGCAAATCTAAAATATTTCATGCCCAGAAGAGGCCCAAGCAGTTTAGCTTAAATGGAAAAATATGTCCTAAATATGACCAAAATGATGTTATCATTAATAAGGACAATAATGCCAACCCATACTTTTCTAGCTGTCACAAAACAAAAAGGGTGTTTGATAGATTCAGAGATAGGAGTGTCAATTCAGATTAATGAACTGTAGTTGGGTCTGAACTGAATTTGAACGACACAAAACTTATTGACCTGAACCCGAGCTATTTAAGGTTAGAATGTCTAACTTAAATACAACATAACATAAACTCGATTGACCAAAAACTGACACACTTGACCCATTTCTTCTATGGTTCATATAATTTTGCATCAACACAAACCAATTAACCTAAATAAGACAAGTTGATGCAAATAAGGGTTGTTGACTAATGAAAGAGATGATGCATTTCAGGCCCAAAAGTTTATGGGCTATTTTGGATTCTTTTAAAATCAATTTAAACTGAACCATCCCCAAATAGTGGGAAAAAGGCTTGATGTTGTTGTTGTTGTTGTTGATGATGAATTCAAACCTAATCAGATTAAACAAGTCAACATTAGACCCAAACACAACCCGTATAAAACTCAGGTCAAACCTAAATCCAATTTTTTCAATCAGTCTATGTTGCATTGTCATGCCGAACAATTTATTAAAATAGCTACTTAGAGGCATAATATAATTAGGAATAAGATGAAAGAATAATAATGCTCAACTGCATGGTGTTATTAACAAAAATGAAACTTTAAGAGTATGCCACAAAAAATATATATATATAAATAAGGAGAGCACCACTCCAAACATACTTAGAAATAAATACAATTTTAGTTTTTCTAAAGCTCCTCGAAGACATTTTAAAGGAAAAGGGATCTCTTTACCCTCTTCCAAAATATTATCATTAATTTGAGGATTAAAAGAAATTATCATAAAAAGCCTTCTATTCCACTTGCTGCCCAAGAAAATTTGATTAAAAGAAATATTTATATTAGGACCCCTATGTAAATAGCTAAAACAAAACGCCAATCCATCTATTGTACTAGAAAGCTTATTATCAGTACTCAATTCCAAGCAAATAAACTCCTAAGCTTCAAGTTTTAATAACCATTAAAATTTTGTTTCCATTTTTTATTTGGCAAACGTGGTTGGAAGGAAAACCCTGGCAGTCTTAACATTATAAAGTTTGGTAATATTTTTCAATCTTTTTTAGCAAGGGTTTAGGGTCAACATTGCTAGGAATAATGGAGCACAAGTCTATCAATCTTAATATTTTTTTGCCCCCCCTTACGAATAAGAGTAAACATATTATCAATCAGATCAATACAAAATAATATAAGGCCTAAGGGAGGATCATCACGGAGTCTATGAAGCTACAAGTTATGTTTATTGGCTACAATCACCCAAAGCTAAGGAATCCCATCCTAAAACCCAAATTAAGACTTTAGGGTGGCATTATGGCCAGTACGGACATTATGGGAATTATCCAAAGATTTAGAGATGGTCAAAATATCATCATAAGGTGAGAAGATCCTCATAACAAATATGATGAGCAACTAGAAGATCATGTTTCCTGGTAGAAAGTTTGACATTCTCAATTATAGGGAAATTAGAATTTTATCCAAAATCTATTCAGAAGAATTAATAATTTTTTTTTGTTGCTATGACCACCTTCAAGGTGGTTTATATCCCAAAATATTGGCTTTAACTAATCATTTGAAAGGTCAAAAATGGGTTTCCTATTTTCTTCCATTCCTTACCGAAAGTTAGCATGTTCTCTTGAGTCTGCATCGCATTAGAAATTTGTTGTCAATGATTAAGGTAAAATGTGAAGCAAGCTTCATTAGATTGACCAAAAAAATGAGAATGGGTACAATAATGATGGATGTGTTCAAATTTGACATCTTCTCAATACCTACTATTCAGATATCACATCCATAAGATATCATGATGTTTAGAGTTGTTCATCTCCATAAGGATATGGGCACATGAAAAATAAGAAGTAGAAACCGTGGCCAAATCCACCACGATTTACCCAAAAATTTAACAATGAAAAATAAAGTTCGTGATTACTAAATTAAAAACCTAGGGAGTAAGATCCATATCAGAATAATGGATGGTTAATGACTAAGATCAAGGATAAAGAATTTCTTCATCGCCCCCCAAATAAAATACACTCAATGGAAATAAGATTTAGGCATAATCGCCATCATTAACATGAAAAATGAAAATATGGGAGGATCCGACTCTCCCAAATCTCTAGATGTTGCTAGATTCCAAATCAGCGAAGAATAACTCAATTTAGAAAAATACTCGATACCCTAATCCTAGGAAAAAGTCCTACTTAAAGCATACAATCATAAAGGAAATCTCCAATCAGTCCCTCCTTTGAATTTTCTCTCCCAACCCTCATTAATTCCCTCTTAACTGTTGCCTGCTGAACCCCATGCAGAAGGCGGAATCACTTGGGAGGCGGAACTCCCCAGCCTCTCTTATACATGAGCTGGCCTCGTATGGACCGGCTGGACTGGTCCAAGGACTGGTTTAACAAAGCTAGAAGTCAATTGAATAAAAATATCATTCCAAGGAAAAAAAAAATACTTCCCACATTTCTTCTCGACTAGCCAATATAATCCAACTTTTGTTCACTTTTCATTTCCCACAACATGCGACTAAACAGTAAACAACACATAAATATTTGACAAAGAAGATAATACATCTTCAAAAGTGCCATTCTACTCACCCTTTAGTTATTCAATATAAAATAGTGATAAATGAGTTAGTTAAGAATGGAAAAAAGAGGCCTTCAGTATTATTGAAACAGAGATGCTAATCTAACTCGCTTCATTCCCAAAATATCTTCCTCAAGCTTCATACATATCGATGTTCAAGGAATAAGGCCGACATGCAAAATAATAAAGTTCAAATCAAAAAGATATAAATAAAGATACTTTATTGAACAATTATTACTCCTAGTCGTGAAATATTGTTCGCGGCTGACCTGAAAAGATAAGGGTCTACAAGAACCACGAAGTTCCAAAACTTGTTTGGAAAGGATTAGCATGTCACAAAAATATGATGAACCGCTTATAACTCTAGATACACGTCAACTGAATCCGATATACTTCAAAAGTACTCCGGCTTAAGCAATGTTAGCGTCACAGTGTGAGTTGTTGAAAATATTTCTGGGTAGATTGGTCCTGCCTTTTCCTATAATAAGTGCAAATAGAATTTTAGGATGTATCATCATTAGCCACTAGCAGAAAAAATAATAGTTTGATCATGGAAAAAAAAAAGTTGAGGTAACATAAACAAACCAATCATATGTACGAGTAGAAGTTTTTGTCATAGTTCTAAATATCTATGACAGATGATGTTTGCATAATCCCCAGAAACTTGCAGCTTGAAAAGATTAATTGTACATAAAAAAAAAGAAACAATTAATGGTTTTTCAGGAAATCTTGAATGTTCATGGCAGGATGGATTCTTCATTTGGTTAAATTATTAACGTTGATGAAAAGGAGTGAGGATATCACACTATTAAGCACATCTATCATAAGGCAATATAGATGGGAAATTTTTGTATATGTTATTCACCGTACAAAGATCCATATTTATAGAAGTACAGGAAAAGAAATTTATCAACATGGATGCTTTCCTGATATCACTTTCCCCTACTATATGTTATATGTCAACACTTACCCTTATATATATATATATATATATATAATATGAATAATAATAATAATAATAATAATAATTGGAAAATAGCATTGTAAGAAAAAGGATCAATCAACCTTAATACATATAATTGGTTCATGAAAAGTAGAATGACTAACAATTTATATAATGCAATTATCATAATATAGCGTCATGATTTTAAGCAAGGGGATAGCCAAAGTTTTCTAAAAGACTTTCACCCCACAATGTTTCACATATCGAATGAATCATAGTTTTGCATTCAACTTATGTAGTAGATCTAGCCACGACAATTTATTTTTTACTTTTCTAAGTGCCAAGTTAATCCCAATAAATACACAATGCCTTGAAAAGCACTTCATGTCTTCAACGAAGCAAGTAAAATGCGCATCAGAAAAGGCTTAGATATTCAAGTGCTCATTCTTAGTTCATAACAACTCTCTATAAAGAGATTTTTTGATATGCCTAAGAATAAGTAGAATAACCTCATAATGCTTTTGTTTGGGTTTTCCATATGGTAGCAGTCAAATAAATCAATTTGTCGACTAAACTTTGATGCTAAGATGGGTCATCCAATAGATCTTCATTGTACAGGAAATTTGAGCCTCCATAAGAGTATTAGGTGGCAATCAACCAGGAAAGACAATTTCTTCAGACAAACAGTTAGTGCAATTTCTTTAAAATGGTGATATCACTTTTCGCTATAGGCAAACTAAATTCCAAGAAACTTCAAAATGATTATGATCAAAATAACCAAGAAACATCGCAACAAGTAAAACAAGGGGGAGCAATGATGGCAAACTTGTGGAGGAGAAAATGCTATCGGAAGGGAAGACAGTTATAAAAACCAATATTGGATGCTGCTGCAAAAAGGTAAGGGAGACTAGTTTTGCCTGGTGCTGGAACAACATCAAGAGAAAACCAAAGTCCAAAATCTATCATATGGGGTCTTTACAAGGAGTTCCAATAAAATCAGATCAAACAGAATGACAGAGTTGCAAGCATCGAAGCCTTTTCTCATGAGTGAGGACTAGAGTCACTTGAGAAGATGTCAACAATTTGTCTTTGCATGAC